CCTGAGAAAGACATGGGTTCTACGGATAGTGTAGAGGAGCCCTTGCAAACATTGCCTCTCGGCCGTGGACCGTGGATGCTTTGACCTACGTCAATACGCAATAAGGTAATGCTTCCTAGACGTACAGCAACACTATTGCCATTGAGTCCACTCCTGCCCGCTATTGTACCTCGTCGACCACCGTTCGATTCCATTCTAGGTGGCATAGCAAGGCCATTTCCATGTTGGTTCTCGTCCTTTGCAAACGGGTATCCCACCGCTTCGGCCTCTCTGCCGTCTGTTCCCATTGTCCAACGGTCCAACGTTCCATTTGCTCATCTCGGTCTCCACGCGTTCACCCCGCTGTCACCGTTGGGAGAATCTCAAATTAGATCTGCGAGGTCTTATATTTGAAGCACTTCGTCCCATCTCTGCTAATTGTCCCGTCCTCCTCCCCATCCGTCCATCAGTAGCACTCGCATCTGACCCCACGTGGCAACCATGTCTTCGATGCGTTCCCTCTTGACGGTGGCTCTACTGTCTGTTGGTCACTTGGCTACGGCCCAGACGATCGTCGTCGACGGCCAAGAAGTTGGTGAGTATTCTACCGCCCGTTTAAACCTTCGAGGAGTGAATTTACTGACTTATATCCCCTAGCCGCCGACGCTTCGACCGTTGCCCCGGCCGCTGAGGTTGCTGACGTCTCCATCGCCAGCACTTCCGCTGGACTCTCTGAGGGGGAAAAGCTTCAGCTCACCGATGCCGTCCTTGCCAACCTCACCGCGCTTCAGCTGTCCAACATCTCCCTGTTTGGCTTCGAGGACGGATCTTCGGTCGAGAAGAGATCGCTCTTTGGCCGATGCAAGACGTACCCCGGAGACCTCCTGTACCCGATCGGTCTCGTCTGGGACATCTTCAACCTCCTCCTGGGCGGCGCTCTCACAAAGACCATCCCAGAGGCCTCTGTCTGCTACGACGACTTTGGCAACTATGATCAGGCAAAGTGCGACTTCTTGACTGCCAACTGGGTCAATGGATCGTACTACCACACCGAAGACCCCACGGCCATCAATGCCGTCCTCTTTGAGGGCCTCAACTGCATGCCCCCTACCATCAACGTTGGCGAGACCAACTGCAAGGTCGGCGGCCTGCCATCCTACGTCGTCGAGGCTACGACTGTCGCCCATGTCCAGCTGGCCGTCAATTTTGCCCGCAATCTTAACCTCCGCCTCGTCGTTAAGAACACTGGCCATGACTTTGGCGCAAAGTCTACCGGCTACGGTGCCTTGTCCATCTGGACGCACAAGTTCAAGAACATTGACTTTTACGAGAGTTACCAGCAGGACTCGTACAGCGGTCCCGCTTTCAAGCTCGGCGCCGGAGTCCAGGCGTACGAGGTCTACGAGGCTGCCAACAAGTACGGTGTCACCGCCGTCGGCGGAGAGGGCCAGACCGTGGGTGTCATGGGCGGTTACGTCCAGGGCGGCGGACACAGCCCCATGTCCGGTCTATACGGCATGGCGGCTGATAATGTCCTATCCTTCGAAGTCGTCACTGCCGACGGCCGCTTCGTGACAGCCAGCGAGTCCCAGAACTCCGACCTATTCTGGGCCATCCGCGGTGGTGGTGGCTCCACGTACGGCGTCGTCACATCTGCCGTCGTCAAGGCACAGCCCAAGATGAACATCACCACTATGACCTTTGCCTTCTCCAGCGGTGACAACCTCACCACCGACCAGTTCTGGACCGCGCTGCGCTTCTACTTTGACGGCTTCGTCGAGTACGCTGTCGACAATGCCAACTACGGATACTTCCGCATCCAGAACCTCGGCACCTCCTTTGCTTTCGACATGGGCCCGTGGTGGGCACCCAACATGACCAAGGCCGAACTCGCTGAGCTCGCGGCTCCCCTCTTTGCCAAGTGGGCTGCAATGGGCCTTGTAGTTGAGCCCGTCTATACCGAGTACGACAACTTCTACTCGGCCTGGCAAAACTCATTCCCGCTGGAGCCCTGGGGATCCAACGCCATCCGCCAAGCCAGCCGTCTCTTCCCCAGAGCCAACTGGGAAGACGAGACCAAGCTCAACGCCACATTTGAAGCTATCAAGTCCGTCTCCGAGGAGGGCGGCTACATCGTGGCCTTTAACATGATGGCGGCGCCCAAGACTGGATACCCCGACAACGCCGTCAACCCGGCGTGGCGCGAGGCCGTCATGCACTGCATCACCGCCGCCCTCTGGGACCCGACCGCCAACGAGACTGTCATCAAGACGGCCAGCGACAAGCTCACGTTTGACTGGATGCAGCGCTGGCGCGACGTCTCCCCCGGCGCGGGCGCGTACATGTCCGAGTCGGACTACATCGAGCCCGACTTCACACAGGCCTTTTGGGGTACAAAGTACGAAAAGGCCCTCGAGCTCAAGAAGAAGTATGACCCCAACGACGTTTTTTACGCGCAGAACGGCGTCGGGTCCGAGAGCTGGGAGATGTCGGAGATGATTATGGGCAACTTGCCTTCGCAGAACAGCAAGCTGTGCCGCAAGCAGTAGTTGATATTTGTTTTGTTGCCTGTGTAATTGAGCCGCCGCAGATGTCCTAGGCGGTGTTCGAACTTCGATGTATATATTGCCGCTGTATATAAGAGTGGCTGGCGTGATTAGCTGCCTAGACCTTATAAGTAGATTGAGAGATGCTCTCACGACGCATTAGAATGGCGTACTTTACGTTCTGACTTAACTCTTCGAACCTGGCTTTTGACCTAGTCCCATGCGCATGTTTTATTTCGAGGAGAGTGGCTGTGATGTAATCCGTCGTGATTCTCGTCGCAAGGCAAACGCAAAGCGGATCACCATGGTCAGTTCTTGTCTGGGCGAAAAACGTCTTCTCATTGATTGCCAATGGCTTTGCCGGTTCTGAGAGATCATCGGACTCTTAGCCTCAGTGTATTAATTAGTCGAGGTATTTTAGAAACTACATCAACAGCCAAATTGACAACAGCGTAATACGTGCACAAGTCACATAGCTCCCACTGATAATTAAGCCTGCGGCTCTTCGTCAAGGATAGAATGACAAATAATGTAGAAATAGTATAGAAATAACCCCGAAAGCCTCCATATTGTAAGTCCGTAAGCTTATCAACACTCCAGCCAAAAGTGACGAGAGAGGGGGTCACAAGAAAGGCAATCTGAATCCTAGAGCCTGTTGTGATTCGTATGGTGAGGTCCATCCTGTTCCTTATGTCCACGAGAACGGCTGTTGCGTGTTCTGTTGCGTTACCCATAGTGGGACAAGAATATTTGGGATTGTTGGTACATATGCCAGCTGGGCAAGGTCTCTCAGCCGGAACGAAGCTGAATCATTTGTTATTGGATTGCATATGTATACGGGAGGAGGAAAAATGGGCGAAGCCTGTGGATTCCTCCGAAGTGCAAGTAGGCGGCGGAAGGGTCGTTGCAAATAGCCCTTACCGCCATCTAATTGCCCCTTTTATGACCTCATATTCCAACAAGAATTAAATTGCTGAAGCTCTCGGTAATGTGAGTTGAGCGATAGATGCTGTTCGATGCATGACTGAACCGAATGTCAGCGCAATATACGGCAACAAAAAGCAGTGTAAAAGCAAGAAGGTAGCCTGTTATTAGATCTTCAGCCTCTTCTCCGCACTACGGAACATTAATAATGAAGATTTTGGTGTGAGCATGCAGATCAAATATGGGATATAGTGTTCAAACTAGCAAAAGAATCATAGAAACGTTGTGGGAGAGGCAAGTGACGGCTTGGTTGACTTTGACGGTATCATTTCCCGGAGTTTCCACTGCAGAGTAGAGCCAATCCGACAGATTATTCAAATAATAAAGTAGATAAAGCAGGATTCTCATTGTAGAAGGAAGTCTTGAGCATTCTAAAGGTAGGACTATTAACGAACGAGTGGTTCGTACTGATATAAGAGAAAAGCTTTTCCATTGTGGTGATCGTAATCTGGACTACTAGGTAGCATAATAAAAAAAGTCTTTTTTTAACAGTGTACTTTCTGATGTTGCAGAGTGTATTAAGAGAATGTTCTGCTATCGAGAGAATGAGCGAGGGTCGGGAAATCAGAAGGGGGCATGACAAGGAATGAGGCGACTGTAATGCAAACTACCTAAGGCGCAGCAAGGCGAATCAAGCGCCTGCCAAGCGATGCTGGTCATCCATCATGTAAGCATGGCTACTAGGCTGAGTATGGATACTTGAAGGCCTCACTTCTCAGCCTGATTTGCTCTACCCACAAGCTTATGTAGAGCAAGTCACCTTCACATGCACCAATGTTGCCTTACTGACGCTGCTCCCTCCACTCTCACTACCCAATTTCGAGACGGCGTACAGCAAGCTGCTTTCTGCAGTTCGAATTCCAAAGGGCAGCACAAGGGCTACGCCTGAAACTATGTGGCCTGTGAACACTTGACAGCTTGGTGTTGGAAGAGGTCTCGGAGCCTTCGTCCATCAGGTATGCCATCCTATCGCATACCTGGGCAAACGATGAGGCGACCTTTCAAGACTTTCACAACATTGAGCAAAGAGAGTTGAGACATACGTCCGGGTTCTTCAAGATTGAGAAGACCTGTGAGCTTGCGCGCTAGCGAGGCCTCCAATATGCGTGGGTGGACACTTGCTGTATCGACAAGTCGAGCAGCGCAGAACTCAGTGAGGCTTTCAATTCCATGTTCTTGTGGTACAAGGAGTCCGCCGTCTGCTTTGTCTTCCTGTCGGACTTACCAGCGTCTGAAAGGCTAGTCGAAAAGGTAGAAACGACGTCCGTCTTTCCCTATGCCCAAAAGACATTCGCTGCCTGTCGATGGTTCACTCGAGGGTGGACTCTACAAGAACTTATCGCTCCTAGCCAAGTGGAGTTCTTTAATTCCAACTGGCAGCGATTCTCTCTCAAAGCCGATTGTCTCAATGAGCTGGAAGAAATCACCGGCATACGTCGCTCAGTCTTGGAGTCCTCCTCAAACCTAGGGCAGACTCCAATAGCGGTCAAAATGTCCTGGGCAGCATCACGGGAGACGAAGCGTGTCGAGGATCGTGCCTACTCTCTTCTCGGTATTTTCAATATCAATATGTCAATGATATATGGCGAAGGACCCAAAGCTTTTCGTCGCCTTCAGGAGGAAATATCCCGGGAGACGAACGACCTTTCCCTGTTCGCGTGGAAGAGCCCTTCCCGGGAGGAAGCGAGATGCCAGATGTTCAGAGGCATCTTTGCGAGGTCTCAAAGCGAATTCAGCGCCTGTTCAACATTGCAAAGGTCTGGCACGAGACATGACTCACAAAGCGAGTTTACTCTTACCAACAAAGGTGTTCGGTTTGAGACGAAGTTGTACAAGCATTCACAGGGCACGTACGTCATGTATCTGGGTTTTAGCATGCAAGAGACACCCGTCTGCATTATTCTCACACGCACATCAGAAGGCTTCATTCGAAGCGAACCTTGGTCGTTGACGTACGAGCACTCATGGAACCTATCCAGGATTCATATCACTTTTACAATCCACGTCCAGAAGGATGTAAGCCTCCAAGAAGAGGCCACATTCCGGAGACAGAGGCATAGGCCATTCCATGTCAACATAGACCTTCAGACATCCCTGAAGCTCGAAAAGCTTGAGTCGCATCCGGGACATCAGTGGGACGAGTTCCATTCAACTTTCATCTCCGGCAATCCTGACCAATCTTATACTGCCAGGCTGGATTTTATAATCCGAGATACCGACAGGAACTTCAACGAAGCCTTTGCTCTGACTCTTACGATGGGGTGGGCCAGTTCACATCAACAGCCCTTCGCCGTACTTTACGGCTCCGAAGGGTTGGTGGACACTGCCAGGCTGGCGATCAGGAATGTTCTTCCGGAAAACTTTCCAGACCTTGTCAAAGACGATCTCGACTGGGGTAGCTCGCACGAGGAGACATTTGAAAAGGCACTGGCGAGCATTTGCACAAACCCCCAATTTCAGGCTACGGAGGTACAGTTCGTCACCAAGAAGATAATGATTCTGCACCGTGGCGTTCGCAAGGTTTCAGCTTTCGTCGCTACATTTAGTGTCGAATTAGAGACGCACAAGGACCAAGACGGCATCATCACCTATCATGCTTCTCTGTCTAGCAAGATCTCGAGAGTGGAGGGTCGCAATGCTATGTTGGCTTTGAAATCGACATGATCAGATTTAGCTCCATGGCCGGCATTTGAATGTTCTATATCGCTCTGTTCTTGGTAGTCCTAATTTTTCCTATGCATATCATATTCTGAGGGCGAAACGAAGTTAGCTAACACTGTAGGAGCTAAGGCCACTGTCTCTAGTATTAAGGAGACCAATTGACAAAGTCTGATGGATTTTAGCGGCTATGCACCGTTGTGTTCTTAAGTCCGCTTTCGTTTCATTACATATACAGTGTACTGTAATCCCGCCTTTGGTCGGAACTAGGACTGCCTAGAGTCACGTCACTCACAACTCCTCAACGGCCAGCAGCGAAGAGTGGTTGTAGTGAAAGCTCACGGGAGGCTGACGGGAGCAAGCGACGTGATGGTAGGTACTGACCACCAGACCCGCTTAATATCTACGCTAGTCCAAAACGGATCAGGCGCATAACCTGCCTTGCGAATTTCAAGGTGACATCTCTCGAATTTCCATCCAAACACAGCTTCACGAAGGCAGCCGATCATCATGGCCTCGATCGCGGCATCACTGGCCTCGGCCCTCCCGAAACCCAAGTACACTGGCGAAGATGAGGAAGCTCCTTCACGCGCTCTACAACGCGGCCCGCGTATCGTCGGAGCCGGCCAACTGGACGAGACGCAAATCGTGCTGAAGCGATCAGGCCCTCCACCATACCAACAGCGAGCAGGATGGCGACCGCGAGGAACCGAAGATTTTGGCGATGGTGGCGCGTTCCCCGAGATACCGATCGCTCAATACCCCCTCGACATGGGTAAGAAGGGCGCGACGACCAGCAACGCGCTCGCCATCCAAGTCGACGGCGAGGGCAAGCTCGACTACGGGGCCATTGCGCGTCAGGGCCACGCCGAAAACCGAATCGTTCATACCTCGTTCAAGGATCTGATTCCCCTTCGTCAGCGCGCTGACGCGGGCGAAATCGACCTGAGCCGACCAAGTCAAGAGGAGGTAGAAGCAACGGCGGAAAAGACGAAAAATGCGCTGGCAGCGCTGGTCAGCGGTGCCGTGGCCGCCCAGAAGCCAAAGACGCTCAGTGTCGGAAAGCGAAACGACCCGACGTTTGTGCGATACACGCCGGCAAACCAGATGGGCGACAACTCGACCAAGCAGGACCGCATCATGAAGATTGTAGAGCGGCAACGGGACCCGATGGAGCCTCCCAAGTTCAAGCACAAGAAGATCCCCCGTGGACCACCGAGCCCGCCACCTCCCGTACTGAGATCGCCGCCACGGAAGCTGACGGCAAAGGATCAAGAGGATTGGCGCATTCCCCCGCCGGTCTCCAACTGGAAGAACCCCAAGGGTTTCACCGTCCCCTTGGACAAGAGATTAGCGGCCGACGGACGCGGACTCCAGGACGTAGCGATCAACGACAAGTTTGCTCAATTTTCCGAAGCGCTCTACGTCGCAGACAGACACGCCCGTGAGGAAGTCAGACAGCGTGCAGCCATGCAACAGCGTCTGGCAGAAAAGGAGAAGGCGCAAAAGGAGGAGAACCTCAGAATGCTGGCCCAGAAGGCTCGCGAAGAACGGGCTGGCGGCGGCAGACGGGACTCACGATCACGGTCACGGTCACGCAGCTATAGCGGCTCAGACTCGGAAGACTCAGACGGTTCGGAGGATTCCGAGATCCGGGAGAGAGAAAAGGCACGAAAGGAGCGTATGCGCGAGGAGGAGAGGAAACTTCGGCAGTCACGTATGGGTGCCGAGAGGAGAGTCCAGGTCATGGCAAGAGAGCAAAACCGCGACATTTCGGAAAAGATTGCCCTGGGTCTCGCCAAACCTACCCAGTCCAAGGAAACCATGTATGACTCGAGACTTTTCAACCAGTCCAGCGGCTTCGACAGCGGCTTCAACGAGGACAACCACTACGACAAACCGCTGTTTGCCGCGCAAGAAGCTATTGGCAGCATTTACAACCCACGAGCCAACATGGACGACGAGGACGACGAAGCAGCGGGTGATAAGGAAATGGCCAAGATTCAAAAGACCAGTCGCTTTGGCGAGGCTTTGGGTAGGGGAACGTTCAAGGGCACAGAAGATGTCGAGGTTAGTACACCTTTTCGAACGAGAGCAAAGGGCAGTGCTAACAAACATCTCACACAGGCAAGAGAGGGACCAGTGCAGTTTGAAAAGGACGCCGGGGACCCCTTCAACGTGGACAAGTTCCTGTCCGAGGTGGAGCAGAACTCTTCGTCAAAGAGGGGCTACGGTCTTCAGGACGATGATTCCCGGCAGCCGAAGCGGGCGCGAGTAGACGAGGATGATGATTAAACTAGGTCCGGTTCTCTTATTGTTTCCATACAGCCGACCAAAAAGCTTTTTGGCTTCGTTGTACGACAAAGGGAGGGGGGAACGGTTTTGGACTGGCATCGAGATGGGCGCCCTTATTCAGGACATCGGAAACAGCTTCGCAAAATGCAAAATTGCAAGGCATGATGCAGAAATTGCGGTACATGCACAAAATCGATCTGGGTCCAAGAGACGTGGTAAAGAAACATTGGACAATTGCGTAGACTTCGTGGGCCCTCTATTGTGTGTTTTAGGGCGGAAATTCTGTTGAGTGTTTTTGGCTCGAAGCCGACTGGATGAGTTGGCGTAGCGACGCTGGTTGTTTCAAAGACGGCGAATTCATGCGGACTTTTATCTTCGGACTGGTTGCGGCAAACTCATGCTCTCTCTTTCAAGACAAGGCCGAGAACCGGACGAAAGACGGACGGCACCATTTGTTTTGGCATTTTGGAGCGAACGACTGGGCTGGCTGCTTGCTGGGTTGACAGGCAGGCCCTGAGTCGGTAAAACTTGTCAGAGTTGAGTGTCGGCGGGAGTGACAGTCGTGGCCGGCGAGGGGCACGTCGTGGGGTATCATTGGTGGTTTGCAATGGTGGCCCGGGTGTTGAACCAAGATTCAAGACATCAGGCGAGCCAGGGGGGAAACCAATAGTTGAGACGAAGATCAGGCAGTGTTGTGAGAAACGTGGGTGGTGGCTGGAGCATTGGACGTTCCGGGCCTATAATTAAAGTGTGTATTGTTCTTGGTAGCTTGGTATGTAAGGTGGCAGACCAGAAGCTATGGTTGACAGGTTTTGTCGTTGAAACAGTTGCGTTTTCTTGCTCTCGTGGTTTAAGCTACGAGTCGGAGACTTTTGCCAATACCTTGGCCGTGAACCAACCGGCTTCTTAGGAATGTGACTGTTCATGCGTTTTTGACAAGATAAGAGTTTACTGTTTAGAAGGGTTGCTGAGCAGTAGCGGAGAGTAGCAAAAGGTGGGTTACCGTGAAGTATGAAGTGAGGAGAGTTGGTGTTTTGTTTGAGGCATCGTGAGACGAGGTACAGAGAAGAGAGCAATACCGGAGGAGGGAACGCGAGAAAGACGAAAGAGCTGTTGTAAGCTTAAATCTATGCCAAGCACCAGCGGAAAGGCTTCCAGAGTTTGACCTCACATGCTATAGGTATTTAGGCTTCCTGTTCGCATCACGCATGTTGGGCTTTCCGAGCTGTATGCAACCCAGTTCCAATGTTCACTCAAATCCCTCCAACTGCTCTCCGATGGACAGGTACGCGGATGTCAAATATGTTGATCAGTTCTCCCGATCTTGTTCCACGAGTTGGGCTGGGGGCCGTTGCAGGAGCGGCAAGCCGAACCTGATCCGAATTCGAGCTGGCGGGTCCCCAGGCGCAGATCAATCACGAAATGGTTCGCCGCACATCAGCAGTCGATCTTTCAATGCGGCTCCCAGTCATGTCAGGTACGCGGACTGGCTGTGAGACATTGAACACCTGGCAGCTGTTCCGTCTATTCTTGCTCATTTCACTCGGTGCTTCTCATTCCCAGTCCCAATTCAAGATATTCCTTGATAGCTGCCCTCACTCGGTTCTGTAAGAAGTTTCTCTTGGATCAAAGTGTCGGTATGAGACGAGGGCTGATAACCAAGCTTTCTTCCCATCACCCGTACACCAGGGTCTTGCGAAAGTAATTCCATGATTCAGAGAAAGACAAACGACATCGGATCGAATGGTCGGGGAGCAAGCAGAGAGAGAGGACAGACCGCACACCGCACACCGCACACCGCACACTTGAGTTCCTCGGGCGTTTTGGCCGAGAAAAGGCAATGCATACGACTAGCTACGCGGGTCCCATTTCATTGACTTCAGAGTTCAGGGCTTCACGGACGGCCCAATTTGGCTCCTGTTGCCAAGCCCTTTAGTGCTTGGGGTTCGGCCTCTAAGCCGTGCCCTGCCCACCCCTGGCGCCAGAAGCCAAGTTTGTCTCTTCCAACTTCCACGCTTCCTCCGGATGGTCTTCCTTGTCCTTCCTACATCTAGTCACTGCCAGTCCAATGCATGTCACATCGGACAGCGTCGACGTGCATCCGCTATGAGGCGCTATGAAGCGTCGATCCTGCCGGCTGCTTCATCCGACATCGACTTCAACCCCGTCTCTCTCATTCCCACCATCTCGTGTGGCGGCGACGACAGTAGCCAAGACTTCGGATTCATCATGCCTTCTTGACACCGATGCCTGTCATCATCGCCCGCGCAGCAAAGACGAGAATGAGATGCTGTCCGGGAGCCGAGGCAGGTCGCTGACGTTGGAACTCACACTTGGGGACGCACTCGCATTCGTTCGCTCTTCATCTCGAGACTGCAACAAAACCTGACATCCGGTCCTCCTTTTGGGCTAAGGGGCAAGCTCTGCCTCGAACACTGACGCTGGGTAGTGCCTCAATCTAAGTATCTCACTCGCGAGTCGTCCGTCCCTATCACAACGACGCAGGCCGAGGAACCCTGGCACTGCCTCGCGTTCAGAGCCCAGGGCCATGAGCCAGCAGAGCTTCTCCATCCCATCTGTGTTTCTTGTCTTCTTTCTCTTGAACCCTTGCAACGGTAACGCTGGAGGCGCCCACTTGGTACCGTCGATGGTCCTCCTCCACTCACATACCCCTTCTTTCATGCCCCGAGGGTTGTCTCTGCTTCTAAAGCATGAATAAGAAGCTTCTTCCCAGACACGACACCCCAGACGCACCGGTGAGCTTGCAGAAACAGCATGACTTTTGACAGGACTTGACTTTTCTCGCAATGCACCTTGGGTCTGGCTCCAGGGCCGGCCCACAACTCCTCCCCAGCCTCACTCACCCCGGGCCCCCATCTTCGCCCGCAAAGACCCGGCCTGTCAAGGCCGGCAGTCAGATGTCCCTGCTTCCTCGCAGAAGCCTCATGAGGCGCCCTCCTGATGGTCCCCCCCTCTACTTCGCCTTGGCAGCATCTTCGGTACCGTCATCCAGTTTACATCCGAGCCCGTGCTTGGCGCCGGCGCGCGGAGGTGCCAGTCGTTCTCACGTTTCCTTATGCTTGACACCCACCCCCTTGACTTAGGTGATCTCCAGGGGATCATCCATACCTCGGACGCACAGCTGAAGCTCAATTGCAAAGTTGGCAATGGCTTGCTTGTTGGGCACCGTGTATCATGTCTCGCCCCCCGCGTCGTCGTGGCCTCTTTGACGGAAAAAAAGGTTGTCTGTCCGTGAGGAACCACGATCGATGCTTATTTCTCCAGGTTTCCCACCTCTAACTGCTTCATGTAAGACCTCTCTTCTCTCATCTCTTCTCTATCGCAGATTCAACGCCTCTTGGCGGTTAGCAATACCTTCCTTTTTAATAATTTATTATAATTTCACTTCAAACCTCTGAGAGGACTGCGCCGCTTTACCTACACCATCATTATTATTACCACAGAACAAGGGGAAGAAAAGAGCAAGGCCTCTCTTATCACCGCTTGAGTCATCTACCTGCTTTGGGCCTACCTACCACGCCATAGTAAGCCCGAAACCTGGCACAGCAGCAATAATACGAACATTTCACGCCCGACGCTCGCATTTCTTCTCAGATCCCTGATGCGCGCGAGAGAGACGGTCACCGAAGTACCCTGCAGACCAAAGCAAGTCGGGCTGCCTCTCAAGTCTCTATCCCTTTTTCCTTCTCATCCGCTAGTCGCCATTGGACCGGGTTTTGTGGTCCACCAGCGTACGCGTACATACTACGTATGATAGGCGTAGTCGTCACTCTCTGAAAAATCGGGGGTGGAACTACGTGAAGCGTATCAGCTTGAAGAAAAGATGGTTCCAAATCTGGGGCCAAACACATCACTCGGCTACACTCCGTTTGAGTACTGGAAGGGTCCGAAACCCGTCCTTCCCAGACCAAAGCGCAAATCTAGAGCCGTCGCCCTCGACCTAGAGCCGTTGCTTCCCACCCCCACCCCGGCCCCGAAGCCTAGAGCAGCCGCGAGATGGCCTGGTCAACATCCGCCTGCAGGTGTCTTCGTGGCGCAGCCAGGCACATATATCGTATCGCCCAATATCAATCGTAGCAAGACACCTTTTGCGGAGATACTCGTCGTGCCACCAAAGGTCCTGGTCCACCCACTTTTCCGGGACGAGATAAAGACCCCAGACTGGCCCCGAGGCTTCTCTCCGTACCCCGATTCCATGAACGACTCTGACTACTACGGCGGCATCATGGGCGACTACGGATTTTCAAACGAGCGCCTCGGGCAACAACAGACTGCGTGGTGGAATCCCAAGGGATGGACGAAACGGATCTGGGCCGGCGTCGGCGGTGCCCTCGTCATCATCATTGTCATTGTCGTTGCCGTCACCGTCACACAAAACAACAAGAACCGATATCCCGACTATTCCCAGCTGACGTACAAGCTGAGTGACACATGTACGGAACCGTGCTCAGGGTCGTCGCCCGTCGCACGAGCCCCCGGCTGAACAAATGACCATGAACACTCGATCTGATTATGACAGACTCTGGAGAGAACTTCTTCGATGGCTTCAACTACTTCAATACCTACGATCCTACTGGGGGTATGGTTCACTACGTCGGTGCCGACGAGGCCGCGAGCAGGGTATTTAACCATCTTCACCTACTACTTATATGGAACCACCGGCTGAGTATGCAACCTTTTTTCGTGAAATAAAGAACCTCACATACGCCACATCGTCCACCGCCGTACTGAGGGTAGACCACACCACCGGCAACACCTCATCGCCCGACGCCTCAACGGGCCGTTTCTCCGTCCGCGTCGAGTCCAAGACGCAGTACGACAAGGGCCTCTTCATCTTCGACGTGAAGCACACACCCTACGGCTGCGCGAGCTGGCCGGCGCTCTGGTTCTCGGACCCCAACAATTGGCCCGACGCCGGCGAGATCGACGTCATGGAGGCCATCAACCAGGGCACCGACGGCAACCAGATGACGCTGCACACGACGTCCGGTTGCGAGATGAGCGTCAAGCGCAAGCAGACGGGCTCGACGCTGCAGTCGGACTGCAAGAACACGACAAACGGCAACGCGGGTTGCGGCGTCGAGGGCAAGGCCGCGACGTACGGATCCGACTTCAACGCCGGCGGCGGCGGGTACATGGCCATGGAGTGGCGCGACGAGGGAATCCGCGTGTGGCAGTTTGCGAGGGACTCTGTGCCCTCGGACATCACGGCCGCGTCGTCGCCCGACCCCAGCACCTGGGGCGAAGCGCTTGCCGACTTCCCCAACACGGCGTGCGACATGAGCTCCCACTTTTCGAACCAGTCGCTCATTATCAACATTGACGTCTGCGGCTCGCTCGTCGAGGCAAAGTATGCTGACTCGGGGTGCGGCGGGAGCAGCTGCTCGGATTTCCAGGCCAACAACCCGGACGCCTTCAAGACGGCGTACTGGGAGTTTGGGGCCTTTAACTTTTACACCGCGTCGTGAGTGCGGCATGGTGCTGGTGAGGTGATGATGAAGAAGAAGAGGAAGAGGAAGAATGCAAATAAAATGGGAATGAAGATCAGGGATATAGGGCATGAGGGAAGAAAAAAAGACTTACACGAGATGAGACGAACCAAGGTCGCCACCAAGGCAGGAACCCCAGGTGGCCGAGGATCGTTATGGGATCCGATTCTACGACTATTTGACTTTTTCAGTGAGAGCCAGCGAGCTTTCCCTAGTACTTGGTGTTGAGCTTGATTCCCTCCTGGGGTAGGATACCTCGGGATTATTAGAATACCAGATAAGAGAGGGAGGATAGGCTTAGATTGAATGAAGCAAGAAAGCACCAAGAGTGCAATCCATCAAATTGAATATGCCAAACGCATCCAAAATTCGTGAACAAAGGCCAGATATATTACAATTCTATTCTTGCTTTCAACATGTAGTCTATCCGACAGAGATCTGAGCAGAGTCGTCCTGCAGGCGTAGGCGGGTGTACAACAACACCACCAACCCTTGAAAAAATCCAAAGTGGAGAGAGTTTCTGACATCTATATCGTTTCCCCCTTTCCCCTCTTCCAAGCCGCCGGCTCCTTCCAAAACAAAAAAAAGGGCCAGTAGGATTTCGACAGAACCGTTCCCGTAACGCCGTGCAATGCAAAAATACATCTTCCATCCGCCTTTTTTGTTGGTACATGTACAGATAGTGACCCCATCACCTCCCCAAGACGGAGAGCAGGGGAAAAAAAAAAAGGCCTATGGCCTCTCCGCCCGCCCCAAAAGGGATGGGAGAGGCAACACCTCCCCCCCTCCCCTTCAATCACCCTCAAAAACGACAACCCCCCCTTACTCATCGCTCGGCTGCCTCATGTACGCATCAATAGCAGCACTAAACGCCGCAAACGCAACACACCCGCCCAGCGCAGCCTGCGGGCCAGCATTCTTCGCCAGAATCCCGCCCGTCAGACATCCCGCCGCCACACCGTTACCCAAATCGTTCTTGGCCCGCAACCCCTCGATACCGCACTCGATGCCCGCGAACAGCGCGCCGACTTTACCAAAGTTCTTGGCCATGCTGTATGACCGCGTACCCATGTCCTTGAAGCCCACGCGGAGCTGCTGACGCAGAGGTAGGTCCGCAATGGGCGTCACCGTCGTTTGGCCGGCCGTCGTCGCTGTGTGGAAGGGGGTGTCGTAGGACATCTATGTTTGGAAAGAAGTAAACAAGGTCAGCCTACATGCGCTTCCTGGAGATCCGAGAGAAGAGAAAAGAGTGCGAGAAAGAGAGAGAAAAAAAGGAAGGGGGGGGGGGGGGAGAGAAGACGTACAGATGCCATAAACATGCCAAACAATCCTCCCATACCGAAACCCATGACACCAGACATGATACTCTTCGTAAAGCAGTTCTCCATAAAGTTGGTCATCTAGCGCGAGTCCGTCGTCAGCATAAGAGTCATTCCAAAAGAAATAACTTCCTCGACATACAGCCTTCATCTCAGGATCCGGAGGGCCCAGAGACGCCGCCGCGCCTGGGGATCCGCCTTGCGACTCTTGAGGAGACATCGCACCGCCGCCGGGGAAAGCCATTGTGTGGCAAAGGAATTAGTTGTGTGATTGTGGTTGTGTGTAGGGAGCGACTCGGTTAGATTATGCCGATAAAAGCGATCGCGACGCGTGGGTAGAGTTGAAATGAATGCACCGGAGCTGATGGATCTTGAATATTTCTGCCAGCAAAGACCGCCCCTAGGTAGACAGACATTCGTCCCTGAATGCGCCAATGGCAAATTTATTTCACGCTGGGCTTCCATCCATGCCAGGTACATCTTATCTTATCGGTGGAGCACGTGCAGACCCCACCGTTCTTGTTCGACCGACCGACCTCCGAGCGGGTCTTGCCGACTTCGGGTGGGGCCAAATGCCGGGTCTTCTCCGGATTTGCATCTGTGCTTTACTGTGGCTGCGATACTAACACGTCAATTACCGCCAAGGCGCTGGGTCAATGTCACCATCGTGTGCAATCTTCGTTGCCAAATTTTGCCTTATCAATGTTTTCCACCTTTCTTGAAAAGTGAGCTACAAGGATCCTGTTCTCTATCAGAAGAGCATGCCCGTCAATCATAGGTCCGCTGTGATATCTGCTTGGCATGCCATCCAACCGTCTTTGGACGCAGACTGGCATGGACCAAGACCGAGCCTTCTTGCTGCTATGGACCCTGAATCACGGAACCTCACGCTCATCCCTGGTATCACCACGGCGTACCGATATCGATACTGGATGCATCGAACAAAAACTCTAAATCTTCTCGATACCACGTTCCTTCGGCATCCAAGACTGCAGAAGACTAGCCACCATGCATTACCGCAAAAAGAGGTCGCCAACGCCGTTTCTAAGCGTTCGTGTTCGGTCAACATGGTCGAGGCCGAGGTAATCATCGTCATTCGTCGCAATCTTCCACAACTCGTCATCTGCTCATCTGTCAGCTTTGCAAAAGAGAATGGTTCCAATAGATTCTTACCATCGTTAAGGTATTGGGGCTTCGAGAAATGGGATCTCTTCACCACCGCGAACTTGATCTTCTCGAAACTCTTGCCCTTGATACCAGTCCGCTTCTCCAGGCGCTTCTTTGTATCCACGAATTGTTCACCCTGGCATATCATTAGCATTCTGCAAAGCTTCGTTTGGAAAGCGGCACATACCTCGACAAGCATGAACTTGAAAGGTACACCGTGGACCCTGCTGGGCTCATTCTGGAAATGGAACACTTGAATGAAGTTGGTCGCCTCTTCGTCGTTGATCTCTTCCTCGGGTACGCGTTCGGCGAAGACGTTGGTGTAATCGTTCATACTAATGACGGGGTAATCGCGGGAGAGTTCGCGGTAAAACTTGTGACTGCTGGTCTCGTACACGCGAATGCGGCCTCCTTCGGTCTCGTCGGGGATGCTGGCCTTCTGGACCAAGACTTGAATCAGGTCCTCAATGTGGCCGTTCTTGGCCACGAGGAGATCGAACTGCTCCTATGCATTGTTAGCATTGCATTCCGCTGCGGCATCCTTCGCTGTAACTCACCTCCTTCGTGATGCCCTCACTAAGCCAAGTGATCTTAATACTCTTCTTAGTGTCTAGCTCAGCCAAGCTCATGTCTAATACCTCAAAGTAGAATGCATCGGTTCGTTGACTTGAACTGAGTTGATTGTATCCAGAGGGGTTCAAGATGAGCTGCAGACTCTGGTTGACGCCACGCTTGACAGTCGTCTTGGGGTTACCTGTAGCCGAGTTGACGGTCCAGAAGCGGATGTGTGTAGGATCGACTTCGAGCCTCTCGCCGACGCGGTCTGCAAGAATGTCATAACTGATCTTGGAGTTCAGGACCAACTCAAAGGGAGGGAATCTCTCGGCATTGCAGCGTGTCGGGTGCGCATGGAATTTCACAGTCTTCTTGTTGTGGAGGAAGTCGTAGTACTCCCGTGCGTCATCGAAGCGGTCGGCCTTCTTGGCAGGCTCTTCCGCTGCCTGCTTATCGCCCAGACCTAGACGCTTTTCAAGGATGTTCCTGTCGCCCTTGCGTTCTGTGGTCTTTTGGAAGCAAATGATGTCGCCATCCTGCAATTCCGCAGCCTTAAGAGATTGCTTGGCCTTCAAGGCTTCGATCATGGTCGGCTTGATTTCCTGGAAACGGTCAATAAAGTCTCGGCAAGCAGCCAAGATTCAAGAGCTTACCTCCCAAAGGGAAATCTTCTCGTCACCTGGCAGCTTCTCGCCCCATCCCATCTTCTTCATGATGATTGGGACCAGTTCCTCAACCTTCTTCTCCTTGCTGATGTAGACGTGGCCGATGCCATACAGAGATTGAGCCTCCACGTCAAAGTGCTTGAGGAAGATCAAGATGAGATCATTCTTCACAACAACCCCATTAAGCTGGCCTTGGTACGTGGGCCACACTGCCTCGCCCTCTGGTGTCGTCTCTTCTGCCACTTCGGCCCAGACTCTCAAGAACTGATCTCGGTGTGCAGCCGCCCTTTGGAAGGCCTCCTCAACCGTAGGTCGCAGATCCATAATGGGCTGGTCAGGACGGATTGTCTTGTTCTGACGATTGACCATAACCCAGAGGCGAACCTTGCGAGGGTCTTGTTCGAGGTCTGCCGCGATAGTACCAACCAGATCCTCCATTGTCGAAGCTCTCAGTACGCGATACGAACGTGGCGCCGCATCGCCATCGGCCTGGTCTGCATCGAATGAGGTCAAGTCGGTGCCTCCGTGATTCTTAAAGGTCTGCTCCGTGATGACCTTGACGCCGATATAGAGGTGCTGCTCCTCCTTCTCCTTGCGCTTCGCCTCTCTGAGAGCAGTCTCTTCGTCAAACTTTGAGCGCAGGTGAAGAGGGATGTCCTCCTTGGAAACCGGGCAAAGAATGTTGTCCAGGCGCGACTGGCGAATGTAAACCAACATGTATGCGCTGTTCTGGCGTACGACCGGAGCCTTTTTCTGGAGGGGTGCTCGCAAGTGGTTGGCAGGATGTGTTTTGTATTCTCCGCCAAAGTTCTCCTCAAGCACCTCACGCATCGTGGCTCTCGTGACCTTATCATCGTCGTACTTGTAGAACCATCCGTCCTTTTCAGGCTTGAGGAATGCATAGTAGTGGCCGGCGTTCAGATCACCGCTGTGAACGAGGACGCCATGAAGCTGGTACGTCCATGACTCTGACTTGTCGGCATCCTCAGAGAGGTACGGCGCTGCGTCGAAGGTTTCGGGGAATTCGTATCGATCGTTGATCTTCATCATGGTGTCTCGTTGAATATCGTATTCGAATCGCTTCAGCTGCAAGTGCAAGACGTTGGGGAAGCTCTGGAAGATGACACCCTTGTTGGCATCCTGCAGCTTAAACTCGTCGCCGGCGTAGTACTGGTTCTCGCCGTCCATCTTCTCGACCTGAACGTAATCCTTGAAACTGTCCAAAAGGTTCTTGTTGCCGCTGACATTGAGCTGGATGTCCCAGAAGTCCTCGACCCGGCTGGACTCGTAGTCGACGTTGACGCAGGAGATGTACGTCTTGATCTTACCACTGAACATCTGCGGGAGCACGTGCTCGGCCGGGGTACCCTTCATCTTCTCTTCCATACGCTCCATTAGCTTTCGCGACAACTCCTGAACATCCTGCTGCTCAAAAATGTGTCTTGTTTCCCAGCCAAAGGACTTGGTCAGTTCGTTCGTTCCGACAGCCTGCTCGGAGGTCTGCAGTTGGTAAAAGAGACGCTGCAGAGTGTATGCGCTGTTGCCCATGCTCTCTTCGTGGTCTGTGGGAATTTCGTAGATGGCCTACAGATAGTCAGCAATGGCGCAGTAAACGTATAAAGGGTTCTGTGACTTGACCTTTCGGAAAGCGTTGGTGAAGTACAAAGACTGAAGAAGAGAGTTTAGATAACAAGTGGCGCCTTGGTTGCGGAGGCCAACGTAGCCTGTTTCCTTCTTGGAATCGTAGTTGTTGAAGTTGTGCCAAAGGACACCAGTTTCGTCTTTGACAAGGCGGAGGTAGGCCGTGATGTTGGCAGTCTCGTTCTCGCAAAGTGGTCGACTGCCACCCTCCCAGGGCACGTTGAACATCTTTCGCAGCTCGAGGAAGCGAGTGAAGCCCCAGTCTGACTCCTCCTTTGTGAATCTGTGGTGCGCCGTATGGTGGGTGTAAAGAGTCGGGTCGTTCGGGTTCCATAGCACAAGCGCGAACTGCACGCAGCAGCTCCAATTCTCGGGGATGTTTGTCGGCTCAAATCCATGCTCAAGGTAAATGGAACACTGGTCAACGTTGTTGCCGTGAGGGAAGAGAAGAATGCGCCTGATGTGAGTGTAAGCGAAGCTACCGAGACAAAGCACCACGGGGGATGGAGGTAGCGCACCATGGAAAGCCGCCAGCCTGGAATACAGGGCCATGCTCCTTCTTTGACATTGAACGCCATGCTTCGACAGTCCATGTGTTGACTACGTCTTCGAGCACTTCGGGCTCTTCGTGGAGGTGTGGGAAGATGACATCCTTCATAGCATCGACTACCCGAGTTAGCCGGCGCGCAGTCCATAAGAGGTTAGGTATGCCTACAGTCATTTGCCAAAGGCAGGTCCTGCAGCTGTTCGGCACCATTGTCGAGGTTGTCAGGATCGATGATGGCGATAGGCTCCTTCTCTGAGTCGGTGCCGCCGACGTACTCGTCAGTGTCCACCACCATCTCGTTCGGCGAGTGGATATCGTTGTTGTAGCTCTGGAATAGTAGACTTGAATCAGCCAAAGAAGCGGAACGGTATTCAATACAATAGCAGGAGAGTAGCTAGGAAGCGATGCGGCGTGGTAGGGGTAGAAATAGATACGGTAGCAGCAGAGAGCTTGGCTGGCCTGATGGCGGGGTATCGAACGTCGCTCGAAGTCCAAGCAGTCCAAGCTGAAGCCTGGGGTGATGAAGGAGATGGGAAGTTGTGGTGACGACGAAGCTCAGTAAAGCAGAGGTGCAAGAAAGGAAGTGGGATTGTGCAAGGGAGTAGTCGCTTTGTCTCGTAGACTCACCATGGTCTATGTGCCGCGGGATGAAGGGAAGTGCGAGAGGAG